CATGGAGACCGTTTTGTGGAGCCTGGATGAGGTAGCCTTTGGTAGAATGCGAAGTCGTTCCTCTACAGTATTTTGTGTTGAACCATTGCGAGGTTTGCCAGAGTGCATGTGATTTGTGCGAAGTCGGTGCATGCAATCTTCCCTGGATGAAGTCTTTGCCGCTTGCTCGCTCGCATCAGAGTTTAGATTTTTCTAATTTGCAGTCTTGCGGCATGTCGTCACACTGACATGTATTGCGAAAAGTGGAGCCGGGCAAAGTTTCGCTTTGCTGCGCTGGTAGACTCGTGGACAAGCTTGGAGCCCTTTTGTACACATGCTGAGTCGAAACCACAACGTCGTTAGCAAGTTTGTGCGTGTTGCTCAATAATCCAGCTCCCAATCCCAATCCTAAACCCAGTTAGCACCCAAAGACTCTGCCCCATGGGCCGCGACATCTCTGGGCCTTGAAGCATGGGGTTCGAGTGGGGAGCCCAGTTCGGGTCGGGTTGTTTTTGCAGCGGGAACAATTGCCGCAGCCATGGAGTGTTTCAGCAAAAATACAACCGTTAAAACAAGACGTCCTTCGATCAATATTGAGGTTTGATTCGGTTTGATTTTAACCATCATGGTTTATTCATCATTGCTACACCCGTTGAATTATTACATTCAACATAAGTATCAGTATCCCCATCACTTGCTCCCACTAAAACTAATCTTATTGCTTCTTGGTCTGTTCTCAAGTCTAATGATGTATTTGATTTGGTGGTATTAACATATCTTTCAATATTAGTATTAGCACTTACTAACTCAATTGGATTAGTAACACCGCCACCACCACCGCCTACGCCTGCTATTAATCCATCCACTTCGCCTTTATTGTAATAATTTGTTGCCAGTTGTGAATGAGTTTGATAATTTGCCGTTAGTGTTGCTGTTGTAGCATATGGTGCTAATGCTGCATTGTCAATCCAGTTATAAGCATCAGCTTTAGGTTTTGTATGATAATCATTATTTAATTGAGCATTATTTTTGTAATTAGTAGTTAAACTAGTACTGTTAGCATTTATTGCATTAAAATTTCCTAATGCTTTACCATCTACAACTGCAATAGCACCATCTATCTGTGTTTTGTCTATAAAAACTTTGAATTTAGTTGTGTTGTTGTCTGAAAGTTATTTGTTAAACTATCTTTAATATCGGTAATTACTAAATCTTCACTTATTTTTTGTGCAATAATTGGTGCTAAAGCATCGTTTAAACTTTGTGGTGTTATTCCTCTTGCTTGAATGTTAATATTTCATGGCCTTAAAAAGAAGGCGGGTCCAATCCAGCAAGTAGAGGCAACACAATTACAATTACAAGCCAGAAGAGGCATGACTTGCGTACTGCTCGTGGCAGATTTTGCCGACACCGTACAAGCCTAGTTCGTGCGAGTTTACACCTCAATCTTTCGCAGAAACTGCTAGGTCGCAGCAGCCGCCCCCCGGGCCACGGGGGGATGTGAAAGGCCTGGAATCTTAAATGCTACGCAGGGCTGGTGGGACAGTCTTTAGAATTCACTTTGGGGTTGTTGTTCAATGCCCTATCAAGGTTTGAGCTTCAAACTTCAGGGCTGGTGCGACGCTCCACCAGGGGCCTGAGGTTACTGCGACCTGAGGTGTCTGCTTGAGGTCTGTCGAAAACCGAGGTTGGGAGGTGAGCATTTCCACGCAAAGCTGCAACTCTTCGATGCAAAACCCCGATGCCTTTCTTGACGGCCTAGGCTAGGACTGACTGCCCGAGGCTTACTGTACTTGAGCAGGAGACGTCCTGACCCTGCCCGTCAAAGGCCTGCATGGAACTTCAAACCCTGGACAAAGGCCCAACTCGTGAGCTCTCCAGAAGTCACTTGGAGACGGTATCAGCGTTGGCAGACTGGCCCCAAGCATCCTGTCGATCTACTGTTGTCAGGAATAGATGTGCTGCGCCATCCGGAGGCTGGTTGGACCTTCGACCCACTGCTCTCGAGCATCCCAGTACTACGTACTTGAAGCCTCAAGCCATGAGCTGCCAGAAGCTCATCATGGAAGTGAAATCCCGCAGCTTCTTTGAAGCATTGAAGTTCTGAGGCTTGGGGACTTCGGTTTGCAGCCTGGGAGCCGGCAGCAAAAACCCCGAATTCTGCTGGGAAGTTCTCGAATCGCAGATCTCAACTCTATCTCGAGGCCTCCTAAACTAAAGCCTTCCAGCCACTGGGTACTTCACCTTTGAAAGGCTGGGGGATGAAGGTGAGCACGGAATGACCCGACACCCGCTGCCAAGAGTGCATGATGGACATTGTGCTAGTTAATGGGGCTCTTGCAATAGCAGTTTTTCCTGCCCCATGTGTGTATATGTATGTGTGTATATATATATATATATACACATGTGTCAGACACACAAGATGCAAGCGAGCCTGGGCACCGGAAGCCGCGTAGAGGCCGCAAAGCCTCAACCCGAAGCCAGGACGTGAGCCAAGTAAAACAGGCAGAGTTCCACGAGGCGCTTCGAGCAGCACGACACCACGTGGACGAGCTGCAAGCTCGCCTAAGGCAAATGGAGGCACAGCGCCTCGGCAGAGATCAAAAGTTAAAAGCTGACAGTTCTCATCCTTATGTCTCATTCCCGCTATTGTAGTTATCATCGGGTTTACAGCATTCGTCTTTTGCAAGGAGCTGGACATGAACATAAGGCAGCAGGCATCGAGCGTTGCCATTCGATGCAGCCAGCAGGGCCTTTGACGGTCGTAGAAACGCAAGGCTTTCACACTCGCTGGCATACGTGCGCTGTTGTCTTAGAGTTGTACCATGTCTTAGACCCTTGCTCACCAAGAGCACTTGGGATTTGGCCACTCATGGAGCTCTTCTGGGCCCATTGAGGTTTGAGGGCCCGAACTCTTCTGGGCCCATTGACCCTACGAAGATCTGTGTTGAATGCCATGGACAGACATGGAGTGTAATTGACGACTCATCTGCGAGTTTGTGGACGTGCACTAGGGCCTTTCTCAGTCGGGAGACGTTCGAGTGTCTGTGCCAGGCCCGTGCCGATTAAATCAACAGCTCCCAAGCCTGTTGAAGACATTGTACTCCCCTATACAACCCTCCCGATAAGAGGACTTTGAGCCGAAGCCCCAAGCTTCAACTTCCACACCCTACGAAGTCCGAGCCCTAGCCAATGCCTTAAACCAGAGCCCTAGTAAAGGCAAGACACTTTCCTCACAGAGCGACGGGATGCAAAGGTGGGGCAGAAATGGCTTAGGGTGTGGCGCTTAGGGCTTTAGTTCTTGGGTTGCAGGCTTCAGTTTGTTTCGGAGTTCGCACTTCACTTGAGATTCTCTGTCGGTCTGTAAGTTAGGGCTTCAGAAGAACCTAAGAGGTGCACACTCAACTCCGCAGCAGTCCCTACCCTAAGCCTAAGCCCTAAGCCACAACCTGAAGCTTGGACCCGTGTGCGGGCAGTATGACTTCAGGCTCCGGGCATAGGTCCGAGGGTGGGTCTTGCATGGCTTAAAAGAAGGATCTGCTGTAGGACGCAATCAGGTAGAGGATAGAGTCGCGTGCAGTTTTTTTTTGAATATTCCGGTTGAGAAGACTTTCAGAGATTCTGAGAAAGCACGCTGCTTGGCTGTAGCGACTGTTTCAAGGGCCTTGCAATCTGCATGATGCAGGGTCCCAAACCCTAACTGCGCGGGGTTGCGCTACAGGCTCCTTGGTGACTTCGACTTCTAAACCCTAAAATCCCCGTCATGTACTAATTTTAACCATGATGCCCTGAATACTATAAAGCCCTCGACACTGAAAACCAAAGTCATCAGCCGAAAAACCTAAAGCCGAACTTTCAAGCCCTAACCCTAGACCCTAGTGTCGGAGAAGCACCGTATCAAAAGGCCCGACCAATACCCTTATTGGAAGCCCTTTTCGGGGCCGTTATAGCGAGCCGAGCCTTGAGCTGTACAACTCCAAAGCCGAAGAGGCTGTGGGCATTTTGGAGCTGCCGGAGGTGACCTTGGCTCCCGCAGCTTGCACGCCTGACGAGGCAGAGCAGCTTCGCAGAGGAGTTCGTGAAATTTGCTGGGTTGGCGCTTGAACTTTGTTGAGGCTTCTGGGTCAGCCGGTTACGGAATCTCCGCACGATGATTCCTTGGGCTGAAGCATTGCTCGAGACACTAAAGGCCCTAAGCCCTAAATGGCAAAACCCTAAAGCCAGAAGCCCAGTTCTAATCAAGTCGAGTTCCGGACCGCCTTTTCACCGAAACTGAGACCCGCAAGCCCGCCATATCCTATCCTATCATCCCATTCACCTTAAGCTTCCGTACACCCAAGGCTTTACGCCCAGGTTTCGAGCTTTTAGGAGCTCAATTTCTTCGGCCCTCAACTGCTCTGGACTGGAGAGCTTTGGCCTCTGAGCCAGATTTCCCAAAACACTCCCAGAGTCTGCCTTAGGTTTTAGGGTTTAAGGGTTACAGCAGTTTTGTGTGCTTTTGTAACGGGCGCCGCCGACTCAACTCTTCTTGCTGTTGGCATCTCAGCTGTTATTTCCGCCGCTGCCACAACCCTATACGACAACCTGAAACCGAACACGCCAAGCTGTCAAACCTAATCCCCTTACTAGGACTGCTCCTTCCGGTTGCCATGATTAAAACCACCGTTTGGCAGAAAGGAGGCCTCCGTGACAAATGAGCCAACGGAGGCGGAGAGTTCCGTCATCACATCGAAGAGGCCTAGCCTTGGGACGGAAGCTCTAAGAGGGTGTTCAAGTTCAGGTGACTTCCTGGGGTCTTGTGGTGCACATGAGGTTGCTGCTTGGCCCAAACACCCTACGTCTTTGACTTTCAGCTCCTGGATTTGCCACCCACGTGTAGGTCAAGGTTTTGCGTGCACGTCTTCCCACTTTAAGGTTTGTCGCAGTAAAGACATAAAGACCAAGAGATTCCTCGTCTCGAACATCCCACCCTCATGCCCTCATGGTAGTGCATGCGTTGCAGATCTTGCTTGTGTTTCGCAGATCGCACTTGTTTTGCACGACTTTTGGCTGAGCAGGTCTGCAGCTGTTTAAAGAAAAGTTGTTGCTAGCAGACATGGCCACGGTCTATCGAAAGGAGATCGGCTCGGTGCCGTTGAAGACGGTACTTCGCCAGTTTCCGATCGAACGCTCTGAGGCGTGCTTGTGGCCGCAGTGTTGGTGATTACGGCCTTCTGTGCAAAGGGCCCTATAAACTCAGTCCTCACCCTGAACCCTGCTCGAAACCCACAAGCACTGTAAGGCGCCCAAGCTTCCAAGGTCGTCCTCCGACGGCCAACTAGCCTCGGCATCCGACTCCGAGATCAGCACCGACGCCTCTCCGAGTCCGGATTTGACAGCCGTGAAGACTGGCCTGAGCTAGCATGACGGTTGCTTCTGCCTGTGGGCTCAGGGCTTTGTTCTTGGTTGAGTAGGATGTCGACAGCACGCAGCCAAGGAATGCGGATGCCTACTACATCTTCGGCTCCGGCATGATCCGATCCGGCAGCGAGGTCCAGAAAATCCAGCTTCCTCCTGGTCTCGACCTCCCAATCCCAGCAAAGCACAGGCCCATTTTGGGCACCTATCCCAATTCGACCGAGATGCCCCGTGCGTCTCAGGTGGCCTCTTTATCTCCCGTATCTACCATGGCTCATATGGATCCCATGGCTCCCACCGCTCCCGTATCTCCCATTGCTCCCGACCGTGCCCCTGTGGGCCCGACATTGATGTCCCCCACCGCGGCCCAGATGGATGCCATGCAGACTCTATGGCTTTGACTATGTAAATGTAGAGGTAAACCTACTCGCCCAGAAACCTTGACCCCAACTGCAAGCCCTTAAGACATCGAAAGAAAAGCTTGAACCAGCACCCCTAAACCCCAAACCCTAAGACCCCAAACCCTAAATAAAGTCCTGACGCTTCTCAAAGAAGATCTACAACCCTAAGCATCCCTAAAACTCAAAAAGCGAAGGAAGCGCCTGAACCAGCAGATCGTCGAAGCCGCCAAGGCCCCGAAAGCCGAGGCCGCAGCAAAGCTCCTGGCTCTGGCAGAGGAGACTTGTTTTGTGTTTGCTTTGGCTTTGTTTACCGATTCTGTTTTCTATAGTCTGTTCTGTTACATAGTATATTCCATTGCAATTGCTACTTCCTGTGCCACTCTTTGAAGTTTTGACGCTCTTGTTGCACTGGCTTCATACTTTTGAGTCTTTAGCTATGTGCTACTTTTTGTTTATGTTTGGTTTCTAGGCTTTTTATTCCTGAGATTGGTTTAGTTTGGTGGTTGCCAGTCTTATGCTATCATTTAGATTTGTTCTTCAGGGTTTTGGTTTCTTTCTTTCGGGGTCTACATAAGGATTTGGGATTCTCAGGTGTCTAGCGGTCTAGGGTTTAGGGCGCTTAAGAGTTTTGTTCTGTTGTTTGCTATGAGGGGGTTTTGGGGTCAGGTGTTAAGTGGGTTTAGTGGTTATGGTTTGAGGGTCGGGGTTTCAGGCCCAGCAGGGGTTATGTCATGTTGTGGCTACGGTCTGGTTCGTTGGAGGATTGCTGAACCAAGGGTTTGAATGCAATCCTACAATAGGTGTGCAAGGAAAGACATTTCAAACCATGGAGGCTCCGATATTGGGTAATTTTGGGGTAGTTTTGGCACGTTTCATTCCGTTCAGATTTCAATATTTTCGCGATGGGGCACATGCGTAATGGAATGGTAAGGGGGGCTGCAGGAAAATATCGACAGAATGAATGCTGTGAACCTCTCCACAGCTTTGCACCGGCTTGCGCGTGCTTGGACCAACAAGCAGGGGAAGGGGCAGAAGTCCTTGGCACGCCATCCGGTCGTTTCAAGGATGGTGGATTTAGCTGAGGAGTTTGCAGAGCGCGACTTGCAAAACCGCGACAACAGCATGCCAGCAAACTGTTGCACCATCATTGCCTGGTCCTGCTCCTCGTTGTCGTTCTTCCGCAGCTCTCTTTTCGCTGTGTTGGTCAAGGCTGGGACTTCCACAGCTGGTTAGATTCAGGCCTCTAGGGTTTTCAGGCTTCAACCAGGCATTCCGACATGTCTCTACTTGCTTTTGTGACCCGGCAAATTTTGAGGTGGCTTCACAAGGTGTGGAGGAATGCCAAAGCTTTGAGATCACCAACTTGATGTGGGCACTTGCAGAGCTGTGCCGACGTCGGCCGCAAATGGGCAAGGAGCTTTCACCCAGCATCCAGGAGCTCGTGTTAGCCACGGCACCAGTGTTTATGAAGTGGCAGCTGCCATGACTTGTAATGTAAGGGAGTTGTTTTCTATGTTGTGTATCTTTCAGTTCCCTGCATGCTCATTGCATCCAAGACCTAAAAATCAATATCAGTCTGTGAGGCTAGACACATTGAATGTGAGGGTGTTGACTTCCGCGCTGATGTCCCTCGCCTTCTTCCCACCCATGGACTTGCTGGCGCACGGAGTACTCATTGCCAAGATCGTCCTTGAGCTTGCCGTCCGTGACGAGGAGTTGGCTTCCGAAAGTCAAGTTGTTGTCGCAGCATTCCAGACGTTGTCCAGGAACCATTCGTCCGTATATCGGGATGTGGTTCGCATATGCCAGCAGAACTTTCCACAGTCTGCGGCCCATCGTCTGATGAAGTCGAGACCTTCGAACAAGACTCGGAAGTGAGGCGAAAGTTGACCTGTTGGGTCTCTTGTGCCATAGATTGTCGCAACTAGAGTTGTCATGTTTCTCAGTGGTAGGCTGTGCTCATGCTTTTCCGCAGATTCCACGTCTGAAATGCAGTGCAATGCTGGCACACTCGTTTTACCCGTAGTGGTCGAGCTGCTGCCAGCGCTGTCTCAGTTTGGTCTGTGGTGAGCACACTTACCTGGATTTCCAGTCCTTCCATCCCCTCGTGGGAGAATTGTCTTCTGCAGCTGTCGAAAACGTGCTTAAAATCAGTGTGGTTTGCAGCTGCCTGCTGAATCATCTTGTGCTCTGTGGAAGGGGGCACCAGACGGCTTGAAGGTTTTGTGGGGTTGACTTGAAAGTCTGGATACACAGCCTGCTTCGCGATAAGCCAAGAGGCTGCTGTGATGTGGCACTAGTGCTGGGACTTGTGCCAGAACTTCTGCACCGGACTAGCAATGACATTGCCTACCACTACCTCCACTGGTAGAGCAACGCCAACTATTGCTATCACTGCAACAACAACAACAACTACTACTACTACTACTACTACTACTACTACCGCCTTAGGCAAAGCACGTGTAAACAAATGCTAAAAATTAAAACAACTACTTGTTCCGAGTTTCCTTCTGTGGCTGGGTGTGGATTCTTCTGAGATTATTTCTAGAATCCCGGATTTGTCAACTTAGTTGTGCAAGGTGTGCAGGGTTCTTCAACAACAGCCTTCAGGGTGGACCGTTCACGCCGGCAGTCCGGCGGCATAGCCAAAGACGAGGAACTCAGGATGATCCGGAAGAGGCCAGTGCAGCACGGTTGATTCCAAGAGGAACAGCTTGTAGATTGTAGATTTGAGGGTTTTAGAAGGCCAGCCAGCCCAAACCTCATGTCCACATCTAGAAGGCGCGATTTAGTGTTTTGGGTATGGGCTGGTGGCTTTGGTTGGTGGTTGTGGATCTTGCTGTCTTTTTTCTGCTGTGCTGGATTTTTTCTATGAGTTTCTCCCACCGCTGATTCGGGTGCAAATTTGAGACTGCGCAGTTTGGATCCCAAGCCACAACATCCCATCCCCACGACACCCTTCCCGCCGAGACCATGAAAATCACCGCCTCTTTAGCTCGGTACCTCACAAGTGCCGCAAATCATCGGCTCGTCCGTGCGTGATTTATGGCTGTTTCAAGGTGTCGAGGCTTCACCCTAGCTCGTCATCCTAATTCCTACTTCTTTCCTGAAGGCTTAACTCTTCTGCGAAAGCACACGAGGCTTGCGGAGTACGATGAACGGGCTTCGAGTGTCTTGGGCGGGCGGCTGGATCTTTCATGTGACAAGGCAGGGGGTATAGCCAGTCCAGATGCGGTGTGGTTATTTCCCCGGTTTAGAAGTGAACTTGGCCGTGAAGCATTGTCTTTTCAAGCTTCTTGGCATTTGTGCCGACTGTGAAGGGAGGTGGGCAGACCAGTTTCTGTTTTGGGATTGTTGCGGGGCTTGAATTTGGGGTCCTCTATGGTTTTTTTCGAGAAAGTATCTGTTCGAAGACCGGGTTCATTGTGTGGTAGCCACATACTACAAAACGTTTGAAGTCTTGCAGAAGTTTCTTGTGTGAGCTGAGGGTGGCGGGATTGCTACGAAGTCTCTCTCTCAATCTTGAATCAGTTGCAGTAGTTGTGCTAGCAGCAGGAGGTAGGAATCGGAAGATCAGAGCGGGTGGGACTGGCAGGCGGAAAAGGTAGCAGCATAGGCACTAGTACTTAGTAGTATTACTCGTGACGCAAGTGGTGCTAGTATTTCAAGTAACACTCGGCACCAGCAGCAGCAGTAGTACTAGCAGGAGTAGTAGTAGTAGTAGTAGTACTAGGAGCAGTAGGAGTAGCAGGAGTAGTAGGAGTAGTAGAAAAAGTAGTGGTAGTGGTAGTGGTAGCAGTGTTAGTATTAGTATTAGCAGTCGTCGTCGTAGTAGTAGTAGTGGTACAGCTACTCCCGCTGATGCTGTCGTGGTGATGAGAATTATCCGGAGGAGCTGTCGCTCGGTTGTTTGGTGACCTCACCATTCTTTGATGCATTGGCAGACACTTGGATGGCACCAGCCAGGTGAGCAGCTCAAGTACAGGCCTTGATCGCTAAACTGTAAATCGAAGTTTTTGCCCCCCAAAGCCAAACTCAAAGCTGCAGACCTGAAGTCTGGGATGCGTGAATCACAGCATAGCGAGAGATTGTGTGAATTCCCGCTTTGAGAGGATCAGGGCTTTAGGGCTTCTGTCAGCGCTGTCAGCGCTTTTGCTGCTATTTTCTTTGCTGGTGGTGTGTTCAATGGCAGCAGCAGTTGCTGCTGCTTGCAGCTGTCATGGTAGGCGTTGTCAACGAGCTTGCTGATGTGTACCGTCATTGTTTTGTGGTCGTCGTCATATCACCAGCGTCGTTAGTGTTTTGGTACAATGTGGATACCATTGGGAATGCGATCCTCATCACTCCTTGTTTTTCTTATTTACAGTTAGTACGTGTAAATTTGGTGGGATTTCATGAGACCATTGCCAGACGGGGAGAGACATGGAAGACCAGGCCCGTTCCAACCTAATCCGAAACCTCAATGTCTCTCCCAGGCATTCGTGATTCTATTCAACTCTTTCGTGGTTGGCTGGGAGGTGGAGTGGGATGCTGCCAACACGCAAGACAATCCCGTCATTCAGGCGGCTGATGTTATCATTAGCAAAGCTTGGCTTTTCCTGGTCCGAGTGGAGCAGTAGCTGCCACAACAACTTTCTGGAACCCTGAGTTCTGAGCCACCGCAGCAGCAGTGGTCACAGCAGAGGAGTAACGAAAAGCAGGCGCAGAAACCCTACAACTTGCATCCGACACTCCAAATCCCAAAATGGCAAGCTAGACTCTGATTCACCGAGCAGAACGGTGCTCCATAGTTCCAAAAAGCGCCCAAGATCTTAAACCCTGCATCTCAGACCTTCAAGAGTCGCTGACGTCCTCGACAAACCCCGACAATCCGAGCCGTCGAAAAGAGCAGCAAGGTATGGGTTTAGCCTCAGTGCTTGTCTTGGAATGTTGCTGACCGTATTGAGATCACTTTTACCGTTTCTCGGGGGCATGTTTCGATGTTCTGCTGGAGTCTAAGGAGTCTAGGAGTTACAATTCTATGCCTTGCTTCGCCCCCGCCTCGCAAGGCGCATCCTAGATCTCTAGACCCTAAAGCCTTCCCGAAATGGTGCAATTTGGGAACCCTAAACCGTGAGCCGTAACATTCCTGCAGGCGCTGTCTTCCTTCTGCAACTTCTTCTTCCTCCTGGAGGCTTTAGGGTTTAGAGTTTAGAGATTCCATTTTAGGGTGTTGGTCATGGGGCTTGGGGTTTAGAATTTCGGGTTCAGGCGGGAGGTTTGTCCGAAGTTGTTTTACATGTTGGGAGCTTGAACATCTTCCGGGCACTAGGAGTTAGGGTATTGAAGGAAGAAGTTCAGACCCTAAGTTGATGCTAACCACCCAAAACCAACTCGGCACCCTCACCATGAACTCCAACCCTGCACACGGATCGCTCGCACATGCCTTGGCCAGCTGCCTACACCATTCTCATTGCAGTCGACACCAGTTCTGCGGCCAGTCTAAAGTGGTGGTCTATGGGGTATAGAAGCGAAAACATGGAAGTGGCTCCACTGAAATGCTGTCAGCGCTTCGCACTTGCATCCTGCCCAGTGGTCATGACAAGGAGTGTTTAACTGAAGATTCTCTCCTGGTGCTCTCCGGATGCCGAATGTCATTGGATAGGATGCAATCCTTCGGACTGGCGACGGTCAGCTGATCACATGAACTCATCCTCCACAAGTCGCATCCATTGACCTAGTCTGTAGACTAGTTCCAGTTGGCCTTCTAAGAGTTTCCCAGCTGGGCTACAGAAGGCATTCGTTTCGGCTGTTTTTGGGCCAACTGAGATTGCTTGAGGCTAAGTCGTTCAATGTTGGCCCTCTGACTCCGGCTTAGTGCTCGGTGGTCACGCAGGCAGACAGTCGGTGTTAGAGTCCACGGCTGAACATGCAAGTACAAGTCTCACCGTCCCACCATTCTGAAACTCTTCTGCAAACCCACGCAAACGTGGAATGACCAGAAGATAGGATGATTGTTCTCCGACGGCACGTTCATGCGTGCCGGACAGACCCCGGCGACATAGGTATTTATGGTGTTTCGCGTGGTTCGCCAGTCGACGATATCGTGCCTGTGACTGATTTCACGAGTTGCGATTGTCTCACTATCCACAGACCCCGGTGACGTCGATATGTATGGCGTTTCGTGTGGTTCGCCTGCGGAGAACATCACGCAAGTCACTGTTTTACGGCGCCACTGCATTTTGGTTTGTTGTTTCAGCAGTTCCGATTTTCAACCCTGACACAGATGTCATAGCCTTACACCCCTTAAGCCTCGATGCCTGATGTCAAAACTTTTGTTGCGAAATGCGAACCCTGGAGGTCTTACTGCGGCTTACCTTCTTCCGCTGCGATTTCTTTACGAATCGAGAGCGAAGGGCCTGGAACCTTTTCGCGGGGCCTCCCAGTTAAGGGTTTTTTTGTACAGGGTTCAGGGAGCCCACAAAATTCAGTCCTCTAATCTAGAAGCGCTGCTCCAGGGACATTGAGAAGTTTTCCTAAACCGTAAACCCTAGAGCAGTCGCTAGGTGTCAAAGACTTCCCGAAGTTGACTTGGAGTTTCTTGCGTTCCACGCCGGATTCGAGGGCCTGGACCTGGGACTGCCAGCGACCCCCCGCAACGGCCCTAAAGACTACGGTTGATGTTGATATAAATCCTGCACTACCCATAATAAGGAATCTACGGCCTTCCCTTTCCGGGTCTCCCCTTCGTCAGGGGCCCTCCCGCATCGAGCCGCCACCTCGCTTTGTATGGGCAGCAAGGATGATAGTGCTATCACTTAGATGTCCTTTCAGTTTCAGGGCCTCACCATTTCAGTTCCCAGGAGCCGTTCTCCTGTTACTGCTGCAAGCCCTAATCCTGAACCCCTGCCTTCCGAGCCTGGAATCGGTTCCACGCCCAGCGAAGCTATTCTGACATCCTGTCCAAGTGCCCCTGAACCCCAAGACAAAGCATCTCAAAGCCTAAAAGCCCCAGACCATCTCAGCCTACCACCCACGTTGTTTCAGGACCTGAGCCTGGTGGTGTTGGCCATCGTGGATGAGGTTCGCTCGCTTCTTTCCTGGTTGTAGGATTCTAGAAAGTCTGGATTCGGGAGGGTTTCGGCTTCAAGCACGTATTTCCCCACCCTCGGTCTGGGGTTGTCGGCCATTCTCCGGTCTCCTCCTAGCCCGGTTTTCGCGGCACCCAGCACCAAAAAACAAGCCCCAAAGAATCACTGAAGTGCCCAGCATTAGAGAATTATTTGAGAATCCATGGATTACCCAACCCCCGGAGAATCCCTTGAAAGTGCCTGGAGTGCCCAGCACCAGAGATTATGAATAATCTGAGAATACTTGCAGTGCCCAACCGCCGAAAGTCCCCTCAGAATCCTTGACAGTGCCCACACAAGCTCACCCGGCTCACCCAGAGTCTTGGAAGACTTCTGGCTTGGCATATGCAGCATGGCATCCCAGTGTATTTTCCGCACCGCGATAGCTTTGCACCGTCCTATCCTGGTTGAAGAAGTGACATTCTCCTCTCAAGTCTCCGTTAAGCGTGCAAATGCCGAAGAAGCACTCCTAAACGCTTCAGTACCTCACTGGTCTAAACACCAAAAGCCGCAAGCAGCATAGTGCTTAATCCGAACTTCTAAGTCTGAGCAATAATGCCCTAAGTGATCCTGGCTGCGAGATCCAAGGTCGACATATTGAGCCTACGCCTTTCAGCAAAGGTCCTTCGGAATCCCGTGACGATCTACATTTCGGAAAACCAGTCACAGCGTACTTCGTCAACTCGGATGGTAAAGCTCATCAACTGGGATGGTCGAATATTACCCCGACAGAGGTAAGCACGGGCACTCAAGCGCTTCCTCTCGTGACCGATTCAGATCCCACAGCCACAGAACCCCCCAGCATGGCCCAGCTTTCCATCCCTGACTCCAGCCCGGCCTGGAAGTTGGAGGTCGCCATCTTAATGCTGGGCGCAGATGCCTCCAGTCAGGGTGCTGTGGGAGCCGCCAAGTGGCCCGGCTTATTGGGTGTAGGGATGTTGGCACACAGCCGTGGTTCTCATTCTGGAGGTCGTTGTGGTTATTGCGAGTGTTCGTTTGGGAAGACTTTTGCTGGGTTTCGCAAGACCCTGGTTCAGAAGTCCTAAGCTTCATGGGAATAATACAGACGAGCAGAATTGCAACAAATTTACTTCTCGCCACGGCTGTAGCTTGTAGTGACAATGACAAACATCATGGGCTTGCAGAGTTGGGCTTGCAAGCTTTCGGGTTTGGGGCCGGGAAATAGGAGCAACCCGACAGTCCCGGATTGCGTTGCTGCGAGGAATCCAAACGGAACTTTAACCTCGGGCATCGGTACTGCTTGCCACCTGAAAGTTTGACACTCCAAACAGTCTGTCGAACACCGAAGCCCTAAGTAGCTCGCAACACCCTAAATGCATCCAAATGCCGAAGCCCTGCGCTCCAAATCTTGCAGAGGATGCTCAAGATGCTTCGGATCCTACGCTGCGCGGATGCACCCGGCCTCCGGAAGCTTCGGACATATTCTTGAACCGTTACGGCTCTTGTGATTCTTGTTTGTATTGCTTTTGCCATTGGCGAAGACGACGACCGCTGCTACTGTCATGTCACATTTTGTCTCCGAATGGTGGCAACACTCGTCAGCTAAACCTCTTGATATTTTACAGGGGAAGGCATTATCGATTTGGTCTTTGGTTGGTTGTACTGCAAGGTCTGCGGGTTACAAACGCAAACTGTAAGTTTAGCAATTTGCAAGATCCTCAGGGTTGTTAGGTTCACGCGAGGGAGTCGTTGCGGAAATAGCCTATTCAGTGGTGGCTTGAAGCCTGAGCCTTGAAGCGAAACCCTAAACTGCCTTAAACTTCAAGCTTACTTTTTCAGCTGCAGTCGTCTATGCGAAAGAACGGACCTAATGAATGGTGCCTCTTGGGCTACTTGCGGGGCGGCGCAGCATGCGATCCGATCTTGCGGCGTAGGTTCTTCACAAGCTGCCAAAGACTGCTAACGAGGTTCAGGGACATCCAGAATCTGGCACCTTCCTGGGACGATGCAAACAGATGCGAAGATTGCAGGCGAACCCCGACCCTAAACCTTAGGCTCCAACAGCTTCCTTGGTGCACGGCTAAAGGAGTTTTCCGTGTCTTCCGCTTCTTTCGCCCGCCTGGCGCCCGGAGGGTACAGGCGTTTTTTTACGGTAACATCCCCATTCCACGCTCGAAGCCCGGCTCTCCGAATCTCAAAAAGAATTGCAAATCTCTCCGTCCGGCTGAAGTCTGAAGCTTTGGTTTGTGGGCCGGGCTTGGGGTGCGAGTGTGTACAGCACTGGAGGTGAAGGGTTCAGATTTAAGGTGTTGGGGTTTCGGGTTCAGTGATAAGGATGGATGTAAGGATAGCCTCACAGTGCAACTCTGCACGACGCCCTGAAGCACTGCAAAAGCAGGAGGCAAGCAGGCTACTCTTACTCCGATGCATCTGAATATCTAGACCCTAAGTGCGCAACTCGGGCAGTTCTCCTTCTTAGCCTGGTCTGGTCCTGATGAACAGGTATTGTAGAAACCTACCGATGTCATTGCAGCTCTGCCGACAGAATCCCCAAGCACGATCAACTAAGAGCATCAATTCCCTGTTGATTTCCTATAAGCCTCACGGCACCCAAGAATACCGGAAACCATATAAGGCTCTAGAGTAGTAAAGGGAAAGGAAGGCGGATCTGTTGCATCCAAAGACATGTTACAATATCCAGCAGATAGCTTCGAATCTGTGCACACGCTTTCAAAGATCAGTGCAGCTACGTGAAAAATTGTATGCTAAGCCCTGTACTCGGTACCCGCAGTCAGATCTTTCCCTTTGGGTGCTGCTAAGGCTTGCACGGTTGGCATTGATGACCCTTGGCTGCAGATTGAGCTCAAGGCTACGGATCCTGGGTGTGTATGGGCTTGCTGGCACGGGTTCGTGGTTTGACTCAGGGCTTTTTATCCGAATCCCTGCACAGACCCAGGGAAGATTGATGGTTCTACTGTAGAACAAATTTCTGGAAGGCGTTTCATTGAAGTTCCAGGAAGGGGGGTGGAGAGCCTGAACTTCACCTTCCCTATGAACCACATCTTCCGATTTTGGGTTGTTGGGGTGCTGGGCTTGCCTTGGTCGAGTCCTCTCCCGCTCGAGCCCGAAAAGGATGCCCCCAAAACCCTGGCATTTTGCTGTAGCTTGAAGCCGAAGCACTGCAGTCGAATCGCTCAAGCCGCGAAGAGTCCAGTACACTTGGAAGAAACCCGAAGCTTGACCACGGTCTCTGTTACCGGAACGCGATAGGGAGGTGAGCGTGGTTTCCCTGGCTGGGCAGCGTCTGTGCACCTTGAAATCAGTCCCGGCAGCAATCAGATCCGTCGGCGAGGAACAAAAACTTGTAAACGACGTCTACGATGATTGAAGTTTCCGTACTTCCAGGCTTCGTCTCATCCCTACAACCTGGAATCGGAAGTCTGAATGCTTAGGACGAACCAAGAAACCCTGATGTTCTTGAAGCCCCACAAACCAGAGCATCGAAGCCCTGGCCGCACTGTGTGCCTTCTGCAGCTTTCTGGAGACCTCGCACCGCAGCCTGACCAAGCCAAAACCCTGAACCCAGACCACCTCGCTGCCCTAGCAGCTCTAGCCCCCAACGCCTAAAGCCCACACCTCGAAAGCTCAGCCGTAGGAGCCAAAGCCTGAGACCCCAGGATTATGGACTCAATCCGATCGTTGCTATGGGCGATGTTCATGCCTTTGGGCGACGACATAGAGTTCTTATGCATGTGTATATATATATGCATGCTACTCCCCTGGGTTATCTACCCCTTTCGGGTGGAAATGACCGAATTGGCCCATTCCCCGGGCGGCGACGCATCCCGGATTGAAGATCTCACCGATTGTGCGGAGATGATTGGGATTGGTACCATGCCCGCCCAAAACCACTGTAGGATTATAAAGGAACCTTGGTCTTTGCAGGGGGGTACCATATATGCTACCCCCCCCAAAGACCAAGGCTTTCAGGTAAGATTTGACAGTAGCCTTCATTGCTTCAAGAATTACGATCGAAAGGGTCCTCAGGGTAGGCGCACCTTTTCAATGATGAGACGCCTCCATATTAGAATTAATTGGAGGTTTCTAGGCGCACCTTTTTAAGGGGTCCTTATGATAAGGATCCTACTACTTGGGGCTTCTACATTGAGGCCGCTGGTCTTCTGAAACTCCTAGACACTTTAAAGGTCCATTTGCATGTGTCGCACATACACTAGCTCTAAAGTTGCTTTTGAGCAACCGTTTTACATCCAAAATATACAATATATAGGCTATATTTAAACAGCCCTGGAATTCGTTTATAGAACGATTTTGGATCTCTAC